AAAAAAAATTGCTGTCTTGCACAAATTAGAATTCGAATGCGCTAGACTCAATTTCAAAAGATTATATGTTAACCATAAATTCTACCAAATGTTATAAATGAATTGGTATCTGTTCAAAAAGTAAATCAACGGATCACTCGAATAAACCAATCCGATCGGAATTACCCTCCGAAATGTCACTGTTTCGTAGAAATGACGTAACGCATTCGTTATCCACACGAAAAGAGGCTACAGTACAATGCAACGGGATTACATTACTGATTAAATTATCCATGTGATTCATCCTGTTGATAACCATTGAAATACACTTGACCATGTGTGATGATTTGAATGTTCAATGATAATTGCTCAATTCAAGAGAAATACATCTCAGAATCAAAATCCTCCGATGTATATAACCGTTACTGATTGAATATTTCTCAATTTAAGGATTGAAGAGTCATTGGTTAATGGAAAACGTTGGTTTTCTTTAATATTATTATCAGCGATGTGATTCATTATTGATGGATGCATTGTAAAATCGCGTGATCAAATGATCAGAATCCATTTGTACAATAAAATATTTTGTTTGTAGCAATCTTCTTAGCAAAGTTTACAAAAAATTTTATGGTCGTCTTAGTGATTTAGTTCGATGGAATTTTTCATATTTTTTCTTCTTATTCACTACCCTTCCACGTCGCCATCTCGTCGCTTATCAATCCGATTGACACATAAACTTTGAATGGTCTTTAGTTTCTGAAATCGCTGCCACACACCAATGAACAATCGAATGTTTTCGATTCATTTTGAAAATTATACGGTCACCAAAGGAAGTAGCATATGAATAAATTAGACGAATCAATAAATTAACGAATCAATTAAATAAACGAATCCGATCTGAATCCGCGGTTCGATTAACCCATTCATCACCAATTAATTTATTCATCTGTTAATGGAAAAATAGTATAACAACACAATGTGAAAGAATTATGCCACCTGTTAAATTATTTATTTGGTTTATTTTGTGTTTGAATGTTAACGAAAATTGCTCAGTTTCGAAGAAATACACCTCAAAAGCATCATATTGCAATTTCCGTTAATGATTCATTATTCCGTTCGAAGGAGGGCTTAAATTTGGGCAGATCACTCAACACAATTCAGGCCTGATGGAGGGTGAGCATTCTGAGAGGTTCACGTCAGGGAATGGCTCCACGTCGAGATCTGCACTTACCGACAAACACTACCCGTGCTATTCTGTGTTTCGAAACGGAGTTATGCTCTCAAAGATCACAAAAAATGCACATCAAGGGAATTGTAATTCAGCATCGAAAAGAGTGAATTCGTTCGCAAATGTGATGTAAGATGTCATCGTTCGATAGAAGCAGCATTCGTTAGTGATAAAATTGGTTTGATACGTGATTTTATCAGTGGTGAGTTTAGAGGTCGATGGAATGAAACATCACAAAATATAGTCCTGGCTTGATTGACTGGATTTTTGAATGTTTGATTTCTCATGGAAAAATTGGTAATCACGAGATTTTTGATGCGCTCAGAAAAATTTATTGACTATTTTATTGCTATCAACTGATAAGTATTCATTAGCATTGGAATATAACGTATTCAAAGGATCGATGGAACATGATTGGGGCAGTCATCTTCACCATTCGGGTCGTTGTGCTTGTCTATAAGGAGAAGCTCTCCATAATTTTGTATTATTACACGTTTCGTGTCGGTGCTTCCTTTCAAACAGGATCCTAGTTATTAGATATATTTCGAGGATATTTCCGTGGTCATTCGAGCAAACAGTCATTCCAGTATGCCTGCACTGGCATATTGGTTTGCTATAGGTTAGTATGGATGGGGTGACATTTTGAGAAATTAGCTGATAGACATGGCTCCACTCCCACTAACAGCCGGTCGCTGAAAAGAGTGCAAATTCGAATGGAGGCAGGGAATCACCTGAATTCTGAACAGGTTGAGTACAGATGGCCATTACTCTTATGATACAGTGGAGTGCGTTAATTGGATGGACATTGGAATACTTTTGAGTTATGCGAATGAATGATTTATTTTGGAATATTTGCAGACATTCATTGAAGATTCACTGTCCAATCGGACTGAAAGCATTGTTGAAAACAAAATGACTGCGAACTAGTGAGTTTTTTGCTTTAATATACTTTTCGGAATTTATTTTTATTTTGGACTGCACTGCGAATTAATTTGGTGGTATCTTTCATGATCAAAGTGTAGGTTAAGGAGGTACGAGGACAGATGGTCACGAGGGGGGAGGCGTGAAAATCCTTTGCTCTCCCCATCGCAGCGCGGCCCCCGTGAAGTTGGGGATTCCAATGGCAATCTTAATTTGAGTGAACACATAAATACCTAGCATTGAGGAATATTAGTAAAGAAAAATTTTTAAGGATGCAAAGCCGTAATACGATGGACAGTGGCGAGCCGGGAAGTGAGCGTGGTGGCTCACTGCGAAGGGATTCTGATGCCGATTTAGACTCTCTCAATGATAAGATAACGAGAGTATTGGAAGAGAGGGATGCACAAAAGAAAAAGTCTGTTACTAGCAATATTGTTGATTTGGATTATCTTTTTCTTATATATTCATTATTATTTTTGCCTTACCAATGTGGAATATTATCGAAATCGCCCTCTGCATATTAAATGAATTACAATGATCTGTTCACTAATCACTCATCTCTTGAGAAAGGTTTTCACTGGAAGCAAGTTTATTAATGCTCTACAACGGTACCATTCACATTATGATGCAATATTACCGCATCACAGCTGTGATCAATGATATTGCATTATTAACAGTAATAAAGCGATCATTTAAGGATTAAAAAGCTCGAAGCGGCGCTTCAGCGAGAAATCGCTGAAAAAAATGAACTGAAAATGCAATATGAACGCTTGCAAAAGAATGTGGTAGAGCCAAAAGGTCGCCACAAAAAGGCGATACTCAAGAATGACACAACTCGTGAGGAAATTCAAAAGGTAGCATTTTACAGAGATCCAAAGTAACGTTCGTAACAGCTTCATTATATGTTGACGATATATAAGTAATTGTTCAATGTGGAAGATATTTATCACAGAAAACTCACGATGAAACCAAACAGATACCGATGGAATGAGCACATTGATCGTCATTTAATATTCATTGACCATCGATCAATTGCACTTATTTCGTTCACTGACATTAATAATCATATCGTTAATATTGGAACGTAATTATCAATGAATGTTTCCCTTATGATTATACGCATTGCCTACTAACTGACGAAATTTCAGATGATAACAACTAAAAATATGGAGTTGCGAGAGGAATTGTTGAAAATCGGCATGCAATGGAGAAATGAAATCAACAAGCAAATTCTCGAAATGAAACAGTCTCAGGTTTTTGCTTTACTCTCGAAAATGACCATATTCTATATCTATGATCATCATTCAATCATCATTATTGATATAGTTTCGATTATCACAATTATCCGCATATCTGATCTCAATTTTTAGTTATTTTATTATAAGGATGGACATATTGCCACCGTAGTTATAATCGTCTATTGTAATGGAAATAAAGACAGTGAAATTAACACGGTGCAACGTTTCAGGGGGAATTGAAAAAGGATATGCAATGTCTGTTTTCAGTTGTGCGCGGGCAGAATGAAGATTTGAGGTATCCTTTTCTCATTGCGACGTGTTATCACCGATTTGTTTTCATATATCAACAACAATTGTCACACCAATCGGTTTCCAGCAAAACTTTCCCCTTCGAACGGGAATCAAACCCGTGACGTACCAATTACCGGTTCGGTGCTCTACCTCTGAGCTATCGCCGAGACCGTTCAGCCTCTAGTTACATCGTTTTGATGACCCTTCCACTGATATTCAAATATTCCATCTATATTCTACTATAATAATGTACAATTCAATAGTATTCCTCAAAAGTGGCGTTAGCGATAAAAATAATAATATTAATAATAATAATAATAATAATAATAATAATCAATGAAAATTGTGCCTTTAGCATTGGTTGTGAATATCTGAAATTTAAGGACGCCTAGACTGCACGATTTCGACAGCGGTGAAGACCTAGATCGAGCCCTGCGTTTAACCGATAACATTCCCCATATGTTACCGGTCTCTTGTACGATTAAGGTTTTGAAAAGGTATTCATCGAAGCGTTTAATTATCTCACAAATCTTTTAAGATTTTTAATTTCACAATATTCTGATCCTTTGTCAGATCTTCTAAGTAAAATGAGAATTTTAGAAATTTTCAATTTTCAGATAAATGATATCGTGAATGCAATAATGAAAATTTTCTCAATTCGATGTTTCGTGCTGATTGATTAGATGTGAATAATATCAAAATGATGTCATCATGCGTAAACTATTCATAAACCAAATTCTCGGGTTGATTTGTGAAGTTATTTATTTCGCCGGGCTTCATTCGTCTGCTCGGATACCCGTCGAACAATCCAGCTGTGTGGTTCGGCGCCATTCCCACTGCATATGATTTTGTGTTAGTTGTTTTTCTGATATATCCAAACTGAAACTATCTTGATCAAGAATGACTACATCCCTCATTCAAAAAGGTAATTACCGAGTCATGCAATCAAAGACTGATGTGATGAGTTTTCTCATGATGCAAATCCAGTCCCACTTCGATAGTCATTTCATTGACTCAGAGCCACTTCGAATTGGATAAAATATTGTGCTGTTATCAAGATAAATATCTGTTTCCGAATTGGTGTTTTAATATCAAATATTTGTGGTTTGCAAACTGATCATCGCTGACCAATGTCAATCAAGTCATTCACATTCCTATAAATCGATACAAATTCGTTTACAATACCAACCTTCAATAACCAATATTATTAGTGTTTTTAATATTTTGAATTATTCAGTGGTATTTTTATGTGGGCGAATCCACTGGAAAGCATCGCAGAGAAGACACTCAAAAATGTGATCAAGCAGTTCAGTGAATGTTACGAGATGAAACAAGGCGAACATGGTTTATTCTCTCCAAGTACTATATCAGATAAAGTTTGTGACTCTGATTATTCACTACAATCCGTTTCTTTCACCAGCGAGTCCAATTAAATTATTTTCATGCAGTTTTATACTCTAACTCAATCTGCAATTTTATCTCATTTCACTGTCGGTGCGATTACTTTCGACTTGATAAAACGTTTCCCTTTTAGGTTATTCAATTTTGCAATCAACTAACAAAAAGTGAATGGAAGTACGGTCTGTCATATCAACTGTTCTACATGAACGAAGAACAGCAAAAAAGTGCGAGTCAAATGAAATTGGAATTGCCGACGCGATACCGATTCGATAACGTGAATCCAAGTTCAGATGCTCGGATCATCGCGAAACAGGATGACGATATTGAAGATAACGAAACCAACATCGAAGTATTAAGGTATGCTGACACATTCCGATGTATTCCTTCTATGTACAAATTGATGCGAATTCGTCAATGATGTTACTATCGCATCCAATTTCCCGAAATTTTTGCTCCACTTCCAAAATTCTTCCGTCATCGGCGAGACTTTCCCCTGAGATTATTCTCATATTCTACCGATTCAGAATCTGACCGCACCAACTCCATCTGTTTAACATTTCACGTTCGCAGAACAATCATCTCTGCAAGCACTGCTAAAAACTGTGATTACGTTTGCAGTTTCATCTTGGAATCAATTTTTAGGAAGTGGTTTGACTGTGTGCCATGTGTAGCGGTTCGTTCTGGAAATAAACTGAAACGTGTTTGGGCCTCCACACCACTCGGGTTCTATAAATTTATTTCTCTCTCGAAAGAGGTCGAATCAACCGTCAAAATGCGACTCTGCCAAGATTGTATCAGGTCAGTTCAACATCATAGCGAATAAACTTTATTTGCTGGAATAGTTTCCGTTCGTAATGTCGATGAAATGTGTACAATCGCATTTTTATTTGAATGTAATTAGTTCATTTTGGTACTTCATTAAATCAATCAAATGCAAAAACCAGTGTGAACTGCCAAGAGATTTACCTGCGAAATTATAAAACTGATCAGCGTTCATTTCCCTCGAAATATCATTCCAAATGTATCGTTCAATTCACATTTATTCATAAATCTCTCGAAACACCATTTCTGACATATATAATCAACTCATTTTGCAAATAATTCGGTATCACTTTATTTCATTTATCCAAATCTCACCAACTTATTATAAAAATTTCTCATTATCAGTGAATGTTCCATGACAATGATCCCAAACTTTATTTATTAACTTATTCAAATTATTTAACTCAACCAACAATGCGCAACTTACCTGTTTGCCACGACAAACGCATCGTTATTATATAAAAAGGAATATAATTATTTCAAAATAAATGTCAAAAACTTTTCGCTTTAATTCTTCAGTAAACGTTAAAACGAAATGTTTTTGCGCTAAAAGTCAGTTATATTTCAGCAAAAAATTCTGGCCATTCGTAACGATTAAGGCGAACGATGAAGATGGGTTGAAGGAATACAACGAATCGGATTTATGGACACGTCTCGACGATGGGGATGGCAATCCAGTAATTTGGAACGTGATACATTGAGTCATAATAATGCTGATTATAAATTAATTGAAGTGATATTTGCTATCTTTTATGTTTGAATTGACAAAAA